TAGCTAAGTGCTTGTGCTCAGTTACTCACTGGACAGGAAAGAATCATTTGCAGAGTCTACCACAAAGGGAAATAAGAAAGGCAGTAGGGATTTCTGTTGACCTTGAACAAAATCCGTAAGTACCATTTCTCAAAAAGGAGTCTAGAGAGCAATGTAACACTTCTCTACTTAAAACAGATAGATGCTATAACAAGGGGCAGTAGCCACAGCACTGCATTTCAGGAGGTGCAAACATGAGGAAAAAATTTTCACTTGGGGTTAAAGCAGCAACGGAACGAGTCACCCAGACTGTTTTGGGACCTTCACACTCAGTTTTGAAGACTCAGCCAGGCAATGCCATTTTTGATCTCATTTCATCTTGGCTACAGCTCTGATTTTGAGCAGGAGGTTGGCTAGATGACCTCCATCAGTCCCTTCTAGCCAATGTGCTCCATAATCCTTTGAGGCAGATGAGATTTCTCTGCTATCATTAAGATAATGATATCATAAAGATATCATAAGATGGCTAGTTTTCCTCATAATCTTTTCCTACTCCTCTTTAAAGGGCAAGCAAACACTTCCCCAAAGGCTGGTTGTTCTATTAAGTTCCTAACAACAACTACAGGATGTCTCTTTTTCCCTGTACCTGTCAAGATGTTCCGCAATGAGAAAGATGGCAACTTCGACTCCGCTATCTCTACAGATTATTGCAGCTGAGAGCTCTCCTTCGGGAGCAGAATGCTGGCTGCAATTTAACACAAGCCAGCAAAACATACATGGCTATCCATCCCCCTGACATCAATTACCTGTGTTCACCTCAGGAGTTTGTCTGCCACAGATTCAGGGCTGCCTGCCTCAGAATCCTTGCACTGGGGAGCTTCCGCAGCCCACCAATGTACCATGCCACTTTTACATATCCATAACAAAAACCAGCTACTGCTCTTTCCTGAGAGAAAAAGGGTTACTTTGTTCTTAGAGAAACTCTCCTTCTAATTAAACTTCCATCGTCTCAAGGACAGCATGATGACCACTCTCAAACCTGGGTCCACAGTAATCTCAGGCTGTAACAGTTCACTGTGTACAAGCACCAACAAATCTTCCAGCCGGTGTGCAAAAGATGAAATCCAGGACGCACTAGAGACACTGAGTGCCAGATGGGTATGTCAGCCCACACTTTGTTCAAGCAACACTGCCAGAATACAAAATAGATGTCATAGTCAACATTTCATATGGTGAAGTCTGCTTTCCCACCACAAAGCCACTCCATGGATCTTTAAACAGTACTGTGCCTACACTTCGGAACAATGACTCCACGGTAAGGAAGACCCCACCTGCCTTAAGCAGTCTGTGTGTCACTGTTGGTGTTGGGGTGGTTCTAATATTGGTTTCCTGGTTTTGTAAGTGTCATAGGAAGATTCCTTGATCAGAGTCTGTGATGTTTCAGAGAAAGTATCAGTTAAGACATGCTAATGTGGAACTGAACGTCCCAAAACCTCACAAAGCGAGTAATGGCATCTAAAGTTGAGGTGAGTAGTGACATGCCTGTACAAGTCGGAAGATGAAAATGTATAACCAAGCTGATGCTGGTGGGAATGAGGGGTCACAGCCAGTACCGAGTGAACCCCCAGCTCCGTTATGGCTCTGATCCACAAATACGCATTTTACATAGAGGCAGAACTGTCAGAAGGACCATCACAAAACATGCTTCCATTGAAATTCAAAGGTGCTACAACTCTTAAGTCCCTATGTCATCTTAGAACTTGAGATTAGTATTTTCAAAAAAATACATCCAGGAATTGTCCCTCTCTGATGGGTGACGCTCTCCATCCTCAATCTTCCAAAATTTTTTTTGTAGTGTACGTTAAATACATCAAATGTAACACTTATAAAGGCAACACGAAACTCTTCCTGTTAGGTAATTGTGTAACATACTTTTTAAAATACATTTTAAAGTTGCAGGCTTGCTTTCTTACAGTATAATTTGGTCTCATCTGCTTCCATTCATGACAGTTCAAGGAACATAGTGAAGAAAACAGAGTTTCTAAAAACTCATATAATATTTTGAAATCCTTTGTTTAATACGTTAACATATACAAAAATTTATTCCATAGTTTAATTATGGATTAAACTACTTAACCCAGAATTTCCCATTTTAATCTCTGTATTGTTTTGCAACTGAGAAGAACTTTCTTGAACCTGAAAGCATAGTGGAAAACAGGACCAAATTACCATCAGTGCCACCACAGAGGAAGGAGATGCATACAGAATACGCCCTTTCCAGAACTGCCACAGGGCTTCACTGGAGAAGGTTGATCGCCAAAGGGTTTCAGAGCGCTAACATTCCAAGTCTGGAGATGGGGTTTCATCAGGCTGTCTCACAGGGTAACTGTGCTGCCAGGCGTGCTCTTGCCAGCCCGGTATGTACTGGCCACCTATTGTTCTGATGAACTCTGAACAGCAGGTATAGAAGCCACCCTGCATACAGGGTGGCCCAAGAGCCACAAACAACTGCTCTAGCACAGCGAGCAGACACTGCAGAGCACCGAGTTAACAAAAGAACAGCTTTTGCAGGCTGAAGGACAGGCACAAACACATACCCTTACCACAAGGAAACCAGGCAGAACTGGATCCAGTTTGGGAGCAGGTTGCTGACCAGGCCAAAGGAAATCCAGCCCAGAGGTAAGAATGTTCCACAACCAGGAGACTACACTTTTACGTTGCAGTGCAGATTAATGTTTGTAAACAACCAGAAGCCAGCACGACATACCAACACAGGTACCAGCAGCCCCTGCTGGCTCACCTTCTCTCCAGACTGTAAGGTTCACACCACCCAGCAGTCCCAGTAACAGCACAGCTCAACCAGTAGTCATGGCACAGAAAGGATCGGAACAGCTCACTAGCTGCAAGTGTACCAAGAGCTACAGGACCAAAATATTTGAACAGATTAATCTGTATTTGTGTGTCCACTGTGTACGTAAAATCCACTTGTAGTTACAACATTCGTAGGAGCAGAGGAACACCATGCATTAGTTAGCTGAGCACATGAAAACGCTGCTAAAGTGTTTTCTTTCTCTGGGACAGCAGTTTCTCTGTGAATATGACACAAGTGACAGGATTTACATCCTCTCGCATGAAAGAGTAGTACTTTCCTGTGTTTAGTGTTGGGTAACTTTTTGGATAAATACAAATTCCTCTGAATGACTACCTCAAATGCTTTCCAGAAGCCATCCATCTATAAACCAGCTCTAAATTGATGTAAAAGTCAAGGAAGCAGCAGTAATTCACTGCAGTCAATGGTCTAGACATAAGATTAGCAAAATATAAATCTAAAGCATTACTGCAGAAATGTATATTTCTTGTATATCTCATGTCTCAGCAAGACTCAAGTACTTAGGATACAGGTCCACAGTCAACCACCTTGGAGAATCAGGCCCTGTTCATTTAGTCAACAGTCTTACCTGGGAGATTTTCCAGAAGTGGAAAATGTAGTTTGGTAGCAAGCTAAACAAATATATATTTTAATAGAGGACAAGAAAAACTCTGCACCTGCTAATAAAATATTTAATTCCTGTGCATATTTAAGGACTGAAGGTGAATATTAATGGCACATCAGGAGATGCAATACACACAATTCCCCAAGGCACAGGATCAGCTTTTCCGTTATATTTCTCTAGACTAGCAAGAAATTGCAGAAAGCTGACATTTACATGCTCCCTAGGCTCCAGACTTTAAAACTCCCTCAGTAAACAAGAAATACCAATCCTGATATGCAGTACATTGTCATTTAAAAAAAAACCCAGAAACTTCTTAGAAAATAATTCCACGGTAGGTTTCTCTGTCAGAAAATTTGAGATAGGATACCAAGAGATGAGGTGATGCAGGACATCCTATTTTTAATTAAGTAGTGAAAAAAAGTCTTCAGACTTTAGGATCTCCAAGAATTACACATTACTTCTGTAAAAGTGACATAAGTTTTAGAATATGATAAAAATCTATCATGCAAGTACTCCTTAATCGCTTTGTAAAAATGGTTCTAATTTAACAGAAAACGTATCTGTATCACAGTGGCTGAATAATCACTGTGAAACTACACATCGCACTTCAAAACATCCGAAAAAATGACTGCTACTAGTGCAAAGAATATTTGCACGATATTTGTCTTCCAATGTAGTCATCACAAACTACAGTATTTAAAGTTTCAGGTGAAGAAATACGGATACATTTAGTTTTAGAAAAGCTCGCAAAGATGTGAGCTTAAATCAACTTGAACTATAGTGTATCAAATCTGTGAGACCTTCGGGTGCTTATACAAGCTAGAATACAGACCAGAGGAAGGCTGATAAACTTGGAGAGCATGGCTATTAACCTCTCCTTACCAGACTCAAGTTGACTCATTTGGAAGCAAACCCAAAAAATCTTACAAGGGATTAGATCACAGACATTGTGTAAGAGTTTTCCCCGTTCTGAAAATTCTACCCTTAATTAAGAAGAGGCTCTGCTCAAACTTAAGCCAGATCACCTACTTTGTCATTTCACAGCCATAAATATCCAGAATAAGTCTCCCAATGACATTCAAAACTCTCATAACTAAAGCCACAGGTGTCTCAGAGGGTGTATTTCTTAAAAAAAAAAAAAAAAAAATTAGCAAAAATTTTATTTACTTTTTCTTACAAAGACTTATCTCCAGCAGAACAACCTGAAAGGCTTTGCTTTCTACAGATAACTTCTAGTCTTTAAAAGTCCTTAAATCCACAGTTTTATCTGTAAAGCTACTCATTCTCCCACCCCCTTAGTTGAAAATCAAGACCAGCATTTTCTCAGCTTAGTGACTAGGTACTCAGTGTGTGGTCTTTTCCATAATTCTGGACTCCTGAGAAAGCTTCAGATAAATAGAAGTATTCATGAACCAAAATTAACAATATCATCACTTAATTATCAATAACGTGATGTTTTTTAAAACAGTCATCACTGATTTTAAAATATGAAATGGTACTTATGGGAAATTTGCATAATATTCATTTAATGCAATATGCAGATTTCATATTTCGTAGCAAAAATAATAGAAAAATGTAAAAACCAATCAAAACAGATCTATACAACTGTACTGAAATGGTACCAATATCAATTCCAGCATTATCTATTTTTGCAATGTGGCCAAGTTCTGTCCAAAGAAACAAAATCAATCATCACTGCCGGCCTGCTTTTCCATTTTCCGTCGTTTCCATTCTGAAATGCAAGACAACAACTGGTAAGGTTTATTATTGCAAATACAACCAGACAAAGAAAAAAAATCAGATTTAAATATTTGTTAATATATATTTACTTCACTAACCATCCTGTCTCTCCCTGCCCCCAGTATAAACAATCTTATCTCCTCTTAATACTTCTTTAAGCCGCAATCAGTACATACAGGAAAGGTTTCTGGAAAGAAACTTTGCAGCAACCACGAAAATCTGTTCCTTACCAACCTCACCGAAGGAGAAAAGCCTATATTCGTGTGACCACAGAGAATCTATTTCTAAACTGTGAGCTTAAGCAGGTTGTTTCACAAACTGCTAAACTGATCACTGACTACCACCATCTTAAGAGGAGGTTGGTTTGGTTTCCCAGTGTGTCTTGGTAGAACATGGACTACCAACTTCGTTACAGCACAGCCTAAGATTCAACTCTCTTATCAACAATATTTTTTTTTGTTAGCCATTTTTCTGGAAGCTAAAGCAAGCAACAGAGTGGCACAAGAAATCTCAACTTAGCTACAGTCTAAAAGTTTTTCTGCAAGGGCGATCACTAGAGCATGGTGAAGACCATTTACCAGCATTCAGCCTTGCTCAGCACAAACAACTGAAAAGCAAACACTGCTGTGCTTCTCCATCAACAGCGAGAGAAAAGACTCTGTACATCTTAATCCTCAAAAAAGTAACGAGTCCTTTTCATGCTGCAACTGAAATACTCCTCGATACTACTGTTCACTACTGCTACGATATCTGCAGTGATGCATTCACTGATACAAACCCATTTTCTTCTTTCAGATGTTGATACAGCTCAGCTTTATTGTTGACTGAGTTCAAACGACCAATAAATTCCTGGTGTTTCCTGGAGTTGGCAGTATTAATCCTGTTGCTCCATAAAGATAGCAAAGACATTGGCCCTAAATTTGAGAGTAAAAAGTCTAGGTGAGTTAGTTTCCAAATTCTTAAACATTAAATCATTATAAAGGCTTAGATGAAATTACAGACTACAGTAGGACAATATATTAAACTCACTTTAAACAAACTTATAACAGAAGCTAAATAAATACAAAATATGCTAAGTGATAACAGCCAAAGAGACCAACAGCATCCTGCTGTATATCAAAAACACAGTATCCAACAGTAGGGAACTGATTGTGCCCCTGTACTCGGAACTGAGGAGGCCACACCTCGAGTACTGGGTTCAGCTTTGGGTGCCATGGTATAAGAAAGACACTGAGGGGCTGGAGTAGGCCCAGAGAAGGGCGACAAAGCTGGTGAGAGGTCTGGAGAAAATGTCTTGTATGAGGAGCAGCTGAAGGAACTGGGATTGTTTAGTTTGGAGAAGGCTGAGGGGAGGAGATCATGTTGCTTTCTACAGCTACCTGAAGCTGTTGTAGTGAGGTGGGTGTTGGTCTCCTCTCCCAGGTAACTAGTGATAGGATGAGAGAAAATGGGGTTAAGTTGCACCAAGGGAAGTTTAGACTGGGTATTAGGAAGAATTTCTTTACTGAAAAGAGTAGTGAGGCATTGAACAGGCTGCCCAGGGGGGTGGGTGGAGTCACCTCATCCCTGGAGGCATTCCAAAAACTTGCAGACATGGTACTTCAGGACATGTTTTAGTGGTCATAGTAGTGTTAGATTAACAGTTGGACTTGATGATCTTAGAGGTCTTTTCCAATCTTAATGATTCTATGATTTATGTTCAAGAATTTCTCAATGTTGAAAGTTTAATTTAAGATTATCATTAGTGACTTAGCTTTAACACTAAGAAGATTTACTCATTACTTTAGACAATACAGACTGATAAAAATGACTTGTATCTTTAAAAGAAATCAACTGTTGCAATTCTTGTTTACCTTTTGCCTTTTCAACTGTGGGTATTTCATCCATTGTAATAAGAGGCTTTTTGTTGGGTGGCTCAGGAGAATCAGGAGAATCTTTGATAACTTCAGCTTCTGCTAGTTCTTCTTTTTCACGATCCAAAAGACCTTTTAACCTTTTGAGACAAAAGGAAAACAGTGAAGCAAAATATACTATATATATGCACGTATGATTCTCGATACCATTCTGTACTCCTCAAAGTATACACACCCATACCATAAGAAAACCTGGCTCCTTGGAATGAGTGAAAAATTGTGAAGACTAGCTAAATAACCCTCTGGCTAAAGTCTTAAGTAAAGGGTAACATCTTAAAATTAAGTTAGTATTTATTTTGTAATTGAGAAAGAATGATTCATTCTGAATTTTGAAGGAAAGACTAAGTAACAATGACTATACAAAAATACCAATTTCGTATTATCTTTTCTGCATGAATTCAGCCATATTCTATACCAAATCCCTTTTATCTCAGTCTCTATTTTTGTTCCACATGTGAGATTAAAAGCAATTGCTGGAATAGATTTGATCATACACAGGAAGACAGGAAAGCTGATCAGCATGGTGACAATAACGTAGGAGGAAAAGGTCTTCCAATGCTCAGTGATCACAGCATGCACAAAACACATGTAAATTAAGCTTACTACCATGAAAAGGGTTTGATCTCTTTCGAATAGTAGTTTGAATGAGAAAAGGCTTGACAGATGATTACCACTTAAGACAAGTTACAATAACAACATGAATTATGGACAGTAGGTATACAATCAATCCCGACATTCAACTAAAGAGCCAAATCAGTCTGGGTTGTTCATCTACCTGAACACTAAGCTATCTACAGCTCAAGAGAAAATAATTGCCTGCCTTGAATTTTTAGTCATGCTTTGTATTTCTATAAAGCAGTTTAATATTTAATAGGCACTGTTGTTATAATAAAAAATCCAATAGCAGTGACTCCTCCAGCTGCAAATCCCTGCTAAGTGGTCAACAATTTGTCCAAGAACCATACTGCTTGCAAAACATGTTAATTTAAAAAGTCTGATAAGCAGGCACCATAATAAGATGCCCAATTCCCCAACTTGTTAACAGTGACTGATCCAGAAAACATGGGGATCCACACACACTAGTAGTAAGCCATGGTTACAAGCATGAATACACCAAATTGAAACCTAAAACTGTTTCAATGCTATTCGTCTCCTCTTTGAAGTAGGGCAGGATGAAAACTGTTTCGCTTTAGAAAAATTTACCTTTCTGATTCTTGCCATGGCTTATCTGATTCATAGTCTTTGCCCAGTTTCTCTGACTTGTCTTCTTTGTCTTCTCTCTTTCTGCCTCGTTTCTTGCGCTCCTCTTCTTCTGGGGGTTTGCTTCTGCAAGCCATCAAACATTCCAAGACTCGCTGGTGTTTATCAGAGTTGTTTATGTGTGCTCGTACAAGGGTCTCCAATTCATTCCACATAATCCGGTACTGTTCATCCCTAAGCAAGGACAGAAAAAAATTACAGACATGATTACCTAGATAATTACACATTTGAATAAATTAAGGTTAAAAACCAGACCTTAAGAAATAAAAAACACACCTAACCATAAATAACTCCAACCAGATTCTCTGTCCTCTTGTACTGGAGGTCTATCCACCTGGGATTACTCCCTCCATGAAACTTGAAACCATACTGCATGTAACACTTCCAGTTGAAAGCCAGAGTTTAAGTTTAAACTGAAAGAGACTATGACCACTAAAATCAAATTCTGAATTTCCACCACAAGATCTCACTGCCAAAAGGCACTTCTGACTCCTCACGGGTGTTTGCTAACTATGCAATGTCAGAATATGTAGAAGGCCACTCACAGACATGCAAGTCGATCACTATTTTATTCTTCAGATAAAAATATTTAGAAAGAACTGCACCATGCTACTGTAAGTAACTTCCAGTCATATGGGCAAATCCACAGCTGAATTTCTTCTCAGTCAGTTCTTGGAAATACAATGCACATATCACTGTGACTGACTTATCAGGATACTCTATTTTAAAGGAGTACCCCATATTTTAAAGAACTGTTTCAAAAGGACTTGACTATTCTAATACAACCCCATTTTATAGCATTGTTAATTTATAATATGCTCAAGTTTTCTATTTTATTAACTTGAAATTATTCCAACTTCTCTGTCCTAGCTTCTATCAATCTCTTACCTTTCTTGATGACTATTCTTCGCTTTCATATTTCCTAACATATTCACAATTCTTTGCTAATAAGATTACATATTTTTTCCCAACATACAGCAATATCAGCACTGTGATAGCCCCTGAATGGTGCAGCAAAACAGGCACAGCCTTTTTTTGTGTACAAACTTAAAAATTTCATATAAAAACAATGTCAACAGAATATTTCTGAAAAAAGTCCAGCATGAACAAAAGGAAATATGCATGCAACCTTTTTGGACCCTTTCCTCTTGTACCAACTGTTGAAATTGGCAGTGGATCATTTTTCCTCTCCATGTCTACCAAATTGTATATCGTTTTTTGACAATTCAGAACATCCTCATCAGTCATTGCTTCTTTTACAATCACACTGGCTAATGGCACTACCTGTAAGACAAAACAAAAGTCAACAGAGAATCCATGTATGTCACAAGAAAGAAACATGAAGAAGAAAAATCAAAGGCAATAGAAACATGGAAAAACACACAAGCACCCCCCCCTTCTTTTCCCCAATTTACTAATAACTCTAAGCAATTACAAGCAGATAGATGCATGTTTTCTTTACCCAGCAGCACTGTAGCTGTCAGGTTCAAATATTCCACCCTATATTGGAATGCCATCTAAAAATATATTAGCATTATATACAGGGTACGTACATGAAAATAAATAAGTAAATAGATTTTTGTGGCAAGTGTTTTATCATGAAATAGTTAATACTTCATCAAGCGGCAAGGTGGAAATTAATCTATCAGAGGATAAAAGGTTACAAACCCCAGGTTACTTACAGCTTGCATGTTGAATATAGTAGTCTGAGAAATAATCATAGGCCAGTAACGAGTATGTTTCTCTAACTGATCTTTTGCACGTTCCAGTGGAATTTCAAGACTTCCATCCATCTTATATCTGGGTTCTAGAAAAGGAGTTAATCTGTTTTCCCTCATAAATTCACCAAAATCCTAATGATAACCAAACAAGATACAATTAGACATTTCTCTAACAAAGTCACTTTCACTGAATGGACGAAACAGCAGAGTATTGCTTATTACAAGCAAGGTACCATAAAATATGATCAATTTCATCCTAACAACCAGAGCCCTGTTTCTACCTTTCAGATGAGTATCATTTGGGGTGAACACAAAAACAGTTACATAAAAATACAGGTTAAAAGCTGATGGGAGGTTTTTGATGAAGAAGCCTTCTGGATCTGCAAGGTATCTCATGTATACTAAGAGTTTTATTGTTTTCCTGGAAGCAACTTCTGCTTGCTTATGACAGATACAAAGGATGTGTTGATAAAAATTAATTGGAAAAAAAGATAAATGCCAGCTGATTGTCTGCTCCATATCCAGGGTTCAAAGCTTAGAACTTTTCTACTCATTGGACAAACCATCCACTTGCAATCTAACCTTCTGCCAATAAACAGGATATAGTCCTATGTGTATTCAGCCCACAGTTAAAAGCTTGCCAAGAAAAATTGTATTCAAGAATTGCAACAAACTTTAAATAGTCATAGTGCATAAGGAAGCAAGTACTTCCCTGACACAGAAAGGATCCTACGAAGCAGGCGTAACAATAAGCAGTTGTACTACTTTGTACTAAATATGTATCAGCAGTAGAAAAAAAAACAGTTTGACCATGGAACCCATTCCAGCTCTCTGGAAAACATACCAACATTTCCTTTACATGTAGTGCACTACATCTGTCATCTGATATAAGCAACAACTTATGGGGGGAAGAGGGAGGGGGCAGGGAGAGAACAAAATCTTACTGTAATCCGGTAGTCAGTGACCCTTCCACCACACCCCTCACTAATGGATGGAGGATCTTCTAGAATGGACCGTGAGCTGCTTAACACGTGCAGAAAAATTTCTCCTCCATGGCTGCTGAGCATGTGACTAATTACTTTAGAGCCGGACTTGCGCGGCTGTTCCAACAAAACCGAGCGACCTGTCGGAAACAAGGCCCATTAGTTACCCTGGGCTGCAATTTTAAATTAAAAACTACACTCACACAGTACAGGCTTTGCACCTTGCCAGCAAGACTCTGAATCCACTATGGCTGTGTTTTCAACTAGTTAAACGAGAAACTGCTATCTTCTTTCGGCATTTACTCCATGCCTTTACACATTACTTACTGTCATATGCTCTGAAATTTTACAACAGGAAGATCAAAAAGCCTCTCTCCTAGACCAATCAGTAGGACGTTATTCTTAGGAGAAATAAGTATTTCATTAAAATACACTGACACTGTATACTGCGTAAGGGTAGTTTGCTACTTTTCATCATTACAGATGATGTTGTACACTATGCTTGTTTGGCCCTACTGCAGAAACTCTCATGGAAAGCAACTTCTAACAAGTAACAAAATAACCTACTTGAGTATAAAAGTATCAATTGATACTAATTGTTAATGCTTAAAATGGATGTTTTTCAGACAGAAATAAAACTGCCTTGGTACTATTTCCAGTAAAATGCATTAACATAAAAAGGTACATCCTCCGAGTTAGTAGTTTGTTATGAGGAAGCAAATATGAAGATCAGAGTGTGGTCATCTGAAATATGCTATTAATTTTAGTTCTAACCATTTTTATTAATCAAAGTTCTTGTTCAATACAGAATCTTTAGAGAAAAATACATTAAAATATAGTGTTTAATAAAAACACTGCAGATTTATTTAGACATTCAAATGACTGAAGAAAACATCCCATTACAAGTATGTTTGTAATGCAGTTTTGTTTGCAAACTAAAAAACCCACATGTAATTAACATTGACTACATATTACTTGTTTGGAAGAAACTGCTTTGGCTTACCTTTTTAACATATATTTAAATGGCAACCTCTTATAGCAAGATTATTCATGACAATGGGCAAGATCTTGCAAATAAGCAAAGGAAAACTAAATCTAACCTACTTTTGGACTGATTCCAGTACACACAGACATGTCTGCTTCAACTGACCAACATACTTAGTTCATCATAATCCAGTTAAAAGAGCTCTCTGAGGCTGCCAAGCATCTGCTAAAAATCAGGCATAGACATAAGTTGCTAATATTTTGCAACAGTCAGAGTAAGCATTGTGATTCAGTGCAGTATTGCCTACTGAAAGCTGGGCTTCCTACTATATAATATGAAGTGAAAAGTATTCTACATTTGAATTCAAAGAACTCCCAGAATTCAATACTTGCTCCTTCTTTACCCTTTTCCTCCCATCTTCAAGTTTCAAAACACATTCCATTTGCCTTTGAGTACATTTAACAACTTTCTTCTCTTATTTACATGACATGTTAAAATAAGCTTGCCATTTTTATACTACATAGACATTAATTGCTATACAAACCAAAATGTGTCAAGTTCTCTATTCACAATATTAACAATTAAAGCATTAAATAACTAGCCAAGGACACAAATTTACCGTTAAGGAGAAAGTTAGTAAGGCATGAAGAAGGTCTGCTATTTACATCTACTGGTGAAATTCTGTATGCTCCAGTGCAATAGTGCAATTCTGAAAAATAAATTCAGATAAAAGTTAAGAGTGTAGTTCTGCATACAGAAAAAAACATCCCACAAAATAAAGGAAGAGGCCATTCCACAATCTGCAGAAACAAGCCTTGCTGTCTCTCAACCTAAAAGTCCGCTCCTTTAACCATCTCCTCACAAGTACCCTCAACTCCGAGAGCCTAATTTATTCCCAAGCCCTATTTCCAACAGGACATCCAGTTTTTGATCTCCAGAATCATTTGTCTGTACAGCCTTCTTTTTCTTCTTACCTGTATTTTTGACCCACTGGCTCAAGAGTCAACATGCCTTGCTCATGGTCTACAGGCTGCATGAGCTGAATGCCCAGGTGGCCTCTGTAAGTTACCCCAAATCTTCTCTGTCCTTCTCTGCTTGGATTTTGGTAGAGATCTTTCCCCTACTCAGATTTTAAAGTTAATATAGAGGGACTAGTTTACTGACAGTATCATTGCAGACATTTAATTTCCTTACAAAGCTTTTTACTTAGGCACTCTAAAGATTACACTAAAATAGTACTTCAATTCCCTTCACCCTAAAAAAATAATTAAAACAAAACAAAAAAAGACTCAATGTCTCAAAGCTATGCTAAAACACCACCACTGCAGAATCGACAAGTTATACCTGTCTTTGTGGGAAGGGCAAATAGTTACTGAACACTGTAGTCAAGGAATAACTTTGTGATACTTAAGAGACTGAAAAAAGCCATCAAGAAAACCATTACTTCCCCTCACCCCTTAAACAAACCATTGAGTGCCCAAGATCAGGAGAACATCAGATGCCCCTCAGTAAAGCAGGCTACAGCCAGCAGCAGGGTTATAGAGCAAAACATAAAACAAGCATTAATAAGAAGAAAAGTACCTCCTTGTACAGATTCTTGTAAGTGTACAGTGTTCAAAACAAGTTAGAATATCAGTTTTGCAAGACACTATGCTACCTACCCACACTATTTGTTCGAGGAGTACACCACTTTAATGTTACAGTTTCTTTAAAAGTGCCTTCTTTGCTGTTGCCACCTACATGATTATCACCTGCAATATAAAGTTGAAAAAGCGTGTGATCAACCATGTTTTTTTATTGCAGTAAAAACCTCTAAACTTTTAAGGTATAAAGTATTTATAACATGAGCATATACAAGAAATAATAGAATTTTCTAACTTAAGGAAAAAAGTTATTAGCAGTGGCAGGTGAAAAACAGAATAACCTTTTGAAGTCATCAGCTGTTGCATGTATTTTAAAAACTATGCCAGCAAACACTGCAGCTACGGAGTATGTTCCATAGGTTTGATTCAATATTTAGAAAATTAGATATGTTTTGTTTTATCTACAACAGGCAATTTTTTTTCTTCTAAAGTGTCTAGGACTTTAAGACAGTATCTTTTTTTTAATTTTCCACACAAAAATAGGAACCCTTAACCAATGTTAGAGCTGATACTGACCTAAAGTCACATTTGGAAAGTTGAGCTTTGTTGAACCATAATCAACTTTCTAATACGCTTTAAAACAATATAGTTTTGGATAGTAAAATAAGTATCTATAGCCTATATCTAAATAACTGTACTGTACACACAGAATAAATCAGACTAAGCTTTTAACGGTACTGAATCATATAACAGAAGTTACAATCAATGAAGTAAGAGAAAACAAAGCATTTAAAAGGTTCAAATGAGACTCAGGCACTGAATCGGCACAGTCTAAATATTCCAAAACACAATGGCACAGGCTGAGGTTTTTTCACTGCTTGGCTTTGCTTTTAGTTGCACTAATACAGAATTATAACCTGACCTTTTAATAATTTCACATCAAGCACCATCTGCTGAACAAAACAGTTCTGCATAAGGCTTACAGTTGTATTTTTCTAACCTTGGTTGAGCTATTAGAAATTCACTCCAGAGGTAGATAGTAATTCCAAGTTTTTAAAAAAAGGATACTAGGTATTTTAAAAACAAGAAAACTCAAAAGTCAAATAACTATTGTCTTTTCCCAAGTAATTACTGTCATAAACAGGTCTGTGGGAAGTAAGTAATCTCAACTAGAGGAGTAATTTTCTGTAAATAGAAGAAGTAGTTTCTTTTGTAAAATCACTGCACGTGGTCTTTCTTCTATCACAGTAAGTTGACATGCCCCTCAAATTTTACACAAATCCTGAACATACATGAGATCTTGTCTGATGAATTTGACCTGTTCTTTCATTGTTATATCCCTATGTTGTGGTTTGAGGCTTGGAGTGAGGGTGTGACCTTCCAGCACCTGGGAGGACCCCAGGTGGGGGTGAACCATTGTATTCCCTCCCCTTCCGACACACTCTGGAAAGAGGCAGGAAGTGGGTGCTAATTCCACTCCTGCCCTGCGGCTCCGAGGTGGAGGTTGTGCTTCCCTTCGTGGGATCTTGGAACTATTTCGGAGGGTTTTGTATATTTTGTTTTATTTATGTATTTCCCCTAATCTTTGTATATTT